GAGCGCCCACCCTCCCCACCCCCCCCCCCCACTCCTCTCCCGGTAAGATGGGGGCAAATAAGAAAAAAGTGGAACCTCCTGAGTTGAGATAACGACAGATTTTTAATAATACCACACGAGGAAAGCAAAAGAAAGAAGAATATAACAATAAGACAAGATATAGAGTACAATGGAAACACTGATACAATGAAAATCTCACCACCACGAGCTTCACAAAAGAGACCCCTCTCCCGGCTAGCTTCCCCTTATATCCCGGGCATGGGGCATGACGTCAGCATGGTATCGAATATCCGGCTATGCCCAACTCCCAGCTTCTGCGAAGAATTAACCCTATCCCAGCTGGACCCAGGACATGTCTACTCACCAAATCACTTTAAGCATGTTCCAGGATGAACATTAAAATGAGCACGTTTGTGCATATCCTAAGATGTTAGAACAGCTGGTTCCCTACAGGCTTTATGAAATTAAACTTTTCTCTGTCTCCTACAGTCTTGGTAGAAACATCGAAGGTCACATAATCCAAACAGGACGGTAACATGATTCTACCAGGAGTAACATGATACTTATACTAACATCAGTTTAAAAAATAAGTTCCAAAATGCAGGTCAATTTCTTTGTCATCTTTGTCCTTCAAATTGACTTATCACCTACAGTGTTACAGTAAATTCAGTTTTCTACCAGAATTTTAGCAGCTCTGACACCACAGAAGAGAATGAATTTTACAGAAAACACTCTTTTGGACAACAGTTGTTCTTAAGCAACCCCTAGGATTTATATCACTGCATTCAGACACCTAGCTTTTCTAAAACTGATTTCATATGCTAATATGGAGTGTTCTTTAAAAAAAAAACAAAACAAAAAAACAAAAAACCCAACTCCTTGATTCTTCACAACAAATATTTTGGTTATATTCTTCTTCCTCACCTTCATTCAATCCTTAGAGCATTGTCAGCATTCCCTGTTTCTTCTGCCCCGAGGTTAAATAATCTTGGAAGTGTATTTCTATTGTAAAATAATCTATTTCACGGCCTTTTTCTATGGACTCCTACAAATTATATATGCCAAAAAGATAAACTTATTTCCCAGGGGAATGAACAAACGATATCAGCTCATATAGAGCCATCTCCTTGGTTATTCATGGCAGCTCATCCAGCTATAAATGAGCTATGTCACGGACATAAAAACACCTGAGCTAGCTCCTTGCAAAACAATTTTTCAATAAATTAGCATTGATACAGCTGGTCCTGCAAACTGCATGGGCAGGTCTAAAAAACTAGAGGGAAAGAGGAAACAGGGCAGAGCTAGTGACAGAAGAGCCAAGAAAGAATTCAACAAGCCAGGGGCCTGGTTTCATTTATTAGTTTCTACATACAAGAATTTCAGTCAGACTGTTTTCAAAGGTTATTTTCACATGTTTTAAACTACTGAAGCATGATCTTACTCAAATCTTAAGCACATGCAGAACATTTGAGGACAGTCAATTGTTATTTGATTGAGCAATTAAATTATTTCCATTTTTCTGTGAATAAAATTAGGAAAACAACAGTCCAGAGATGCTAGCAAAAAGAAAAGCTAGGATCCTCTGATTACAAGGTCAAAATGGCTTTCTTGCTGCTGCATCAAAATATATAGTTGTCAGGCCATCTTACTCTGATGCAGAGCAACTTCCCCAGTAGAAACAACAGGAACCGCAGCAGAGAAAAATCGGTTTCAGCATAGCCGTGTGTGAGAAAGCTAGGTGTTTTGCAGCTAGTCATAGGAGAGGAATTCCTCATTTTATATCTGTTCCTGCCAGCTCAACAAGGAAATATTTGCTCATTTATTCCACCCTGTGTTTGTTCCAATTAGTTGATTGTGGAAGGACCAAGGAATTTCTCCAATTTTCATGGTAGCTTATTCATCACCATCAGTTTGAAGAAATTAGTGGTCCTGTTCCCTAGCAGCACGTGATGAAGCTGCAACAGAAATACTCTTATCCTTAATAGCCATGTATCATGGCTAAGCTTCTACATCTTGTCTAGTCTGCTGGTTCATTCTTAGTGCTTGGTTACACTTAGCTGCACAACATCCAACCGTTGTTAGCAAATCTGTTTTGAACTCAGAGTGGCCTGTATCCCATTAGAAAACTGGCAATGGAAGAATTGGTCCTATATCATAAAGTGAAAAAAATGGCTCTCAAGTTTATCCCTGGTCTGATGTCATGCTGAAGGAAGGTGTTTACACCAACAATTCTGGACCTGCTATGCTGGTTTCCAGCAGATTCAACCAGGACTGCTTTGGCTTTGGTCCTGCTGCTGTGATGATTATAGAAACAGCTGCTGCATAACTGCGGTGGTTTTATATATCTGATTTCAAATGTAGGATGTGGTGTAAGAATAATTATAATTTATTAATAAGCTATGGAATTGAAGGGGGGAAACAGGTCAGCAACTACTTCCAGATGTCCCTCCCAATCCAGACGAGCAGGAATTCCCAGTAAAGAGGAAGCAGGTGTGAGCGAAGGATGACCAAGCTAAAAAGCTTCCTCACTTTACTCCAACATATTTTGTTCTTAAGGGATTTGTGCATGCCTTATTGCATCCCTTGAACCACTCTGGATCAGCTACAGAAGCAGGTAAGACAGTACAGACAGCTTTCCTCAAACTTTCTAACTGTAGCTGAGATGCTAAAGGATGATACCTGCATTTGTAAGTTTGCACAGCTATTCCAGAGAAATGTTCCTATTTGATTTTCCACCCAACTAGCCCAAATCATTGCCTATGTAATCTCTGAGCAACAAAATAAAAAAATTAATCAAACAACCCTCTAAAACAGCAATGCAGGTCTCCTCTTCACCTAGAGCAGCCCAAAAATTAGCACTCAACTTCTTTTTTTTCCAATATAAACTAGACAGTGATGTGACTGCAGGCCATGAGAAATTAAGCCATAAAGCCTACTTGCCAGGTCTCTTGCCACTCCCTCAAACTAAAAAATAAAAATAAGAATGCTAGTTTTCTTTCTAGAGATAGTGCACCGTTACAACTTAAAAGATTACCACCACATGATCCCAGCTTAGAGTGGAGAGGGGGGAGTGAAGAAAGCTGCTGCTTTTCCCATATGAATCTAGTTGATGGCTAGCTATTATAGAAATGAGAGTAACAGGAAAAAACCTGCTAGATCCTACAATATTTTTAAAAGGTAGATGTTGTATTACTAATTTTCAAATAGAGTAAATCTACTACCCTCCTAAGAGCAGTAATTTGAAACAGTCCTTCTGTAGCTGAGACAGACAGTCTTATGTATGTTTGTTTTCCTTTGTTCCCCTAAT